AACCCTAAACCCTAAGTCTAGGGGTTGAGGGTTTAGGGGTATTAGGTTTTAGGGTTTTAAACTAAACGCTGAGAACCTGGACCCTAAGTCCTCTAAGGTTTGGGCTTAGGAGTCGGGGGGTGACCCCTTCCCCAACAATAATACTGTGTAGGGTTACGGCACCTATTATTTAGGNNAAGGGACCATAATTTTGACAATTACCCAAATAGTAGAAAGCATCCGTTCTTTTCAACAGACTTTGAGGCATCCCCAGACCTATCGAACCCTAAACCCTCAACCCCTAAACCCGAAACCCTAAACCCGAGAACTATCGAGTCTTAGCGTTTATGATTGGTCGTTCGTCTCTGACACTCTAAGCATACTTGCCCGTAGTTTGCAGCAAGTTTAAAGCTTTGGGTCGGAGTTGGGGTTCACGGTTTAATGTAGGAGCCTAAAACATTACCAATACTGTTTTCTTGGGTGGCTCTTATTATAATTATAGTATAATGGGCCTCAGAACCCTATTCTAAATATTAGGGCCCCCCATATTAAGTTCAGAGTTTAGTACGAAGAGAGATTTAATGTAGGGCGGGCCTACACCTGCAGGATCAGCCACTACTTCTTCTACAAGCCGTGCAGCAGTTCATGGACACTTGGATGCTTTGCAAGCCCACAAAATCGGGATGAGGGTGCCTGCGGGTTACTTCGGGTGTTTCTCTTGCCACGGCACTATATATATATATATAGATATAGAGAGAGAGAGAGGGGGAGAGAGTGTGTGTCTATAGGGTAGTGTCAGGACCTGGGTTGCGGTTGACTGCGCGGACTATGATACTATAAGTGCAGATTGGGTTTTTGAGAAAGCTTAGCAACAAGCCGGATATGTTTCAACTTATTCAGGATTGTGGCTTAATCACAGGGGTTCGGAAGGCTCTGGTGGCCTAAGAACCCCGAAGCCCTACACTCCAAAGCCCCCGGTCCACTGGGATACGAAACCAGCGACTGAAACGGGATTAGGGAACAGGGTTTAGGGTTTAGGGAGAGAAGGAAGGATGATAATATTTTGATAGTCATTGCTGATATTCTGGTTAGCACTATTGGTGTTACTGTTCTTGTTTTTGCCCGTATTATGAACTATGGCTATTGCTATAACCGTGATCAGTATGGTTGTATTTTTACTAATTATGATTGTTACGTTTTACTAATCTTGGCTTTGAAGTAACCAGGGAGAAAAAAATATAGACTTTTATTCATAATGGTTCCTTTAAGGAACAGGTCCCCCAAAAAAGTATTAAAGTATGGTACTCCAAAGCCCAGTAATGTTTTTTGTTAGCACGAAGAGGCCTAGTGTTCAAAGAAGACTTTGGAGGGCTTGAGGGTGCTTTATGAGGCTTTCCACAGCGAGGTCATAGCGTTTTTTTATAGTCCGCATCCGCATCACCAACAACTCGCACACTATGGCCCTAAACCCTAAACCCCAAACCCCTAACCCCTAAACCCTAAACCCTAAACCCTAAAAACAAAACCCTAAACCCTAAACCCTAAAAACAAAACCCTAAACCTTAAACCCAAGCCGACAAACCACCGGCTTTCCTTAGCCATCCTTAACCCTACAGGACGCACATAGAATGTCCGGGGACAGTGGTCTTGTCAGGGTTCTTGGTTCCAGGGAGGGTAGCTACTAATGCTGGGGTCTGAAGCACTCAAAAAACACCTCGAAACCCCTAACCTGATTGTTGAGGCCGTCTGATACAATCCTTATACCAGCCCGGTCAAACCACTCCGAAAAAGTACTACATAGCCCCGAGGGAACGGTACTACTACGGATGATCTTAGTCCTGCATGACCCCATAATAAGGAGGGTACCATAATTAGGGTTTAGGCTTTAAGCTTTAGGGTTTAGGGTATAGTTTACGGTCGTTGAGGTAATGCAGGATTTATGTCATCAACAATCGCTTACTTCTCCAATAAGCCAGGGAAATAAAAGGTTAAACTTTCAGATTACTACTAAATTATAAGAACCCAGCAAGTTTAAAGGTTGGGTATTGGGGAACTAAGATCGTGGATCAGACTCCGGAAGTATGTGGGCTGCACTCCTCGAGCGCTCGGCGTCGCTCGGCGCGACTTTCTGCTGCTGTGGCCAAGTCCCCGCGCAGGGCGCCCAGGCGCCGCTCTTAGCGGTGGCTGTGGCGTTTTGGGGACGATTGGGCTTCGGGAGCTTAGGGTTTTAGTTTTAGGGTTTAGGGTTTAGGGTTTAGGGTTTAGGGTTTAGGGTTTAGGGGTTTAGGGGTTTAGGGTTTAGGGGTTTAGGGTCTACATGAGGCTTACAAGGCCCTTTCTAGAGTGTTTGGTTCTGCTGCTACCGAAAGCCATGAACCTTTCATACAAAAGGCTGCCGTTGGGCTTAAGCCTAAGAGTCGGGCTGTCCTCTTGAACTTGCTAGCAGATGTTTCAATATTTCTCCAATAATCAGGGTACCGTTTCCCTTTCTCCTTCCAGAAGTCAGCCTTCATATGGAGACCCCAAAATGATAGAAGGGCACAGCGATACACAAGAGGCTGCTAGATTCGCTGGCGGCTGCCTGCGAGTGGCAACCGAAACCCTAAACCCTAAACCCTAAACCCTAAACCCTAAACCCTAAACCGCAAACTGAGCCAGGGAAGACGCCAAGAAATTACCCGAAGCATCCACGTGCCTTGGTACTCATGCCTTCATTCACGGGGCTCGCTTCATTCACGGGGTTCCTATAATAAATATATATACATATACATATACATATACATATACATATACATATTAGAATATAATATAATGTAATAGAATAGAATAGAACAGAATATAATATAATATGTATATGTATATATATATATGGGTATTCTAAGGTCATCTAAGCTCCAAGCTACATCCGAAGTTGCCCTAAACCCTACATCCAAAGGTAGGCGTTTGACTGATTAAAACAGGATTCTGGGGTGTAGAAAAAAAAATATATATATATATATATTCTATAACATTATATATATATATATATTCTGCTAAAGATTTAGTCGGAAGCCTACGGAGTACAATTACTGAATATTCATTCCGGTACAGTACCACGACAGGTTAGGGAAATTTGCCGAGAGACGCATCTCGTGGCATCGAGCACGCAGGGCCGCGCGCTGCGACCATCGTGCAAAGTCTGGTCTTGGCCAAGCGTGCGCTGGCTGGTCTAGGGCTTGAAAGATGCAGGGGTACATACACCCACACACACACACACATATATAAATAAACAGAGAAGTCGAATAGACCGATAGGTAGATATTGTCTGTATATTTATCTGAACCAGGGCATTAAGGTTGAGGATGTCGCGAAGCCAAACCCCTCACTTCTGGCCTCATAGGATCTATGGGTATGTTCCAGACCTATAATATGCCATTCAGGTACCGTAAGGAACAAAAACATAAGAGCCGTGGGTTTCGTGATCGCAGGAAGTGACTGCGACGGGGCTGTGCGGGTGTTGTTCACTGTAGCTTTTCTACCATGACTTTGCGGTTGCCAGACCCCTAGTAGGTCATAAGATGCTATAAGGCGATTGCTAGATTCATATACTCGACAAAGTCAAGTGGCCCTAGATCGTTAGCATCAGCCCCGACAACAGAGCAGTCGATGATCGTTCTGTTGTTGTTATCCCGATGACGTCACTTGTAGTTGTGACGACTACAACAGCCGTTCTTAACAGGTAGCAGTTGGTCAAACCTTCTTGTTTCGAAGATCTGCAGCCGAGTGGCTCCAGGGCGGCTTTGGCCCCCTCCAGCTCCGCCGCAGCTCCGCGGCGGTCCCATTGCCGGACGACCTCGAAAACTGCAAACCCTAAACCCTAAACCCTAAACCCTAAACCCTAAACCCTAAACCCTAAACCCTAAACCCTAAACCCTAAACCCAAAACAATATACACTCTAAGCCCGAAGCCCAAGACCCTACACCATGTCTTGCACAGTGAAGGCTTCGCACCGATTCGACTTCGCATGGAGAGAGCAAGGTGGGCTCGGAGGGCCGCATGTCTGTGCGAAGGGTCATTACGAGAAGGGCTGCAAGGGTAAAATCTCAGCTGCTTGCTGGCGAAGATAGCTGAAAGTATAGGAGAAGGTTTAAGGGTGCGCGAGACAGTAAGCCTTTCATCAAACCTTAAACCTGAGCTTTAGGCCTAGAACCTCTCCGTGCAGCACATGGACCCGGCAAAGACAGTGTCCACAAACAGCTCCACGAAGGGAGCCGTGACACCTTCGCACATCGAGAACTACGCAGATACTTGTGGGATTCGATGGTTACTCTGTGTATTGTCATTGGTGGTGTCACCATATTGTTTGGCATTGTGAAGCCCGATGGCGAAGTCAGGCTTATGCCGGATTTGGTGAGCGTGAAGAACAAGAAGATGAGAATGCTGATGCTGCTTATGACAAACCGTACCAGCGACTACGATGAGGACGGTCATGGTCAGTATCATCACCATCTTCATTCCGCTTCAAATATCATCATACTGAATCCTCGTCATCAACCAACATCGCCCGCGGGAATGGGGGTGTTGTCCTAAAGCAAGCTAGGTGGACTCGACTTCGTCTACGAGGCGTTGGGAAGAGGGAGTCAGACAACAATCATAGCACCGAAAGCCGGGACTCAACCTTGAACTTGAAACCGCAAATCATCTTGATATGGTCATAGCTCAAGTACATGTCTCACAATGAATTCCCATTTGGGGGGAATCGCATCATCAGCTCCGTCAGTTGGGTATAAGGATCCCAAGTTCCTAAATGTTGAACCCCAATGCTGAAATGCCTAGACCTAGATTGTAGTACCTTTTGTTGGGGAACTTTAGAGAAGCTTTTCTCTGGTTCGGATCCCTGCAATTGAAAACAAGATAACTGAACCAAGGTACTACGGTGTAGGGCCATTGTAGGGTCTAAGTATGGTTCGTATGTGTACATATTCTATCTACATATACATGTACATATGCACATATATATATATATGTCATTAAATTAAAAGTATGTCTGTTTATATATATATATACACGGGCTAAGGTGACTAAGGTTTGTCTGAAAAGCTCAGCTTCGAACTCCAAGCCACGGATGTGCAAGCTGGAGCACTTTAGCATCACAGCGGCAATTTCAACACCAACGTAATACGGGGCCTAAATAATTACCAATACTATTCTGGGGCTTAAGGCTTATTATGATTATAGTATAATGGGCCCCGAAATCCTATTGCAAACCATCATATTCTCCTCACCGAAGGCCGAAGGAACCCCAAAACCCAGAGTTCTAGAGCTCTGCAGTTCACGCAGATCAAAGTGGAGAACCTCACACATGGAACCCTAAAAGCCACGCCTCAATCCCCCAAAGCCTAGACCCTAGACCCTCCCAAGATCTATCACAGGCACCAAGCGCAAATCGTCGGCCGTCGCTGGCGCACCTAGTCTCGAATGCGGGGGAACCTTCAGGTAAACCCCTAAACCCTAAACCCTAAACCCTAAACCCTAAACCCTGTATTGGGGCTGGGGTTCCCGGTTCGGGGGGCGGTTGCGGGGTCCTGGTTGTTATTGTTGGGGGGCTGGGTTCATTCCGAGTCCAAGAGGGCTACAGTGCCCTCCCTGTCAAGCCCTCCACACACTGAAACTCTGCCAAGCGGAGATTCATACACAACATGACCAATTTATTGTCCCTTTTGGGGGTCCTTTTCAATAAGGGTGTCGCCTTCTTTTGGGGTCCTAGAGAGGGACCCTAATTAGAGAAGTACCCATTTGTGCCATGGGGAGAAGCTCAGGTGACTGAGCCGTTCCGAAACTTTCAACCATTCGATTCAGGGTCTTGGCCTTAGGCCCCTAAACCCTAAACCCTAAACCCGTTACTATAGAATTGCTTCATGGTGTAGGGTCTCCCAGCATGACTGTACCAGGTTCAGGGTTTCCTGCACAGCAGTTGCCACCATCAGAACCCTGGAAGAGGGCGGATTCGTCAGGGCTCTGCACCTACACCGACCCACAAGCCCAAGTCTCACCCTTTATGTATGTATATATATATATACACACACAAGTTTAAGGTTTAGGGTTAAGGCTTGAACAACCATAAAAGGCTTCTTGCCTTCTTGCGCTCAAAACGCCCCTGAATCCTCATCTGAGCCCCCCCAAAGTTTATGGTCCCTAAACCCTAAACCCTCAGCCCTAAACCCTCAAGCCTAAACCCTTGGGTTCAGGGTCGATGGTTCGTGGGCTAAGGCCTCGGGTTCACGGTTTCGGACTATGGGGCTTGTAGGGCTGTCAGGGTTCAGGTCGAGAGTATGGGGTTTAGGGTCTTAGGGTTTACAGTAGGGTTTTGGCGGAATAGGGCAGTTGTTATTTAGCTTTGGTTTGTGGCTTTTCACAACCAAAAATCGATTTGAAGTATATCAAGGATATGGCACTGCCTGTGTATTTCGCGTGGAACCAATACTGCATGTGTTCCACAATGAACTGCCAAAGGTACATTCGTAAAACCCTATACCCTAAACCCTATACCCTAAACCCTATGTCGTCATACACAGGAGAAAAACCGAAGCATCAGTACTGCGATGAAAACAGTTCATCCATATCAGTTGAAACGACAAACTTTGGTGTTGTGTGGTTTTCCGAAATTTTGTGAATTGCGTTCAAAACCCTCGAATTCGAGTCGCTGAAAGGCCAAAGCCGAGACATACCCCCCTAGCCACTGATGAGAATGACCATGATGCCAAACCCCACCATGAACCCTGAACCCTAAACCCTAAACCCTAAACCCTAAACCCTAAACCCTAAACCCTAAAAAAAAACAAAACGCCAACCCCACCATGCACGCAGACGTATAACGCAGATGATGCTTTTACAGCTCAGGGTTTAGGGTTTAGGGTTTAGGGTTTAGGGTTTAGGGTTTTGGGTTTAGGGTTTAGGGTTTAGGGTTTAGGTCTGAGGGCTTTGGGGCTCAGGGCTTTCTCTGGGTTCAGGGTCCGAGGCTGCCAGCCTTATTATCGTTTTGGTAGGAAAATTATGGGGAGTTTCCGAAAATAGGGGTACCTTGTTTTGGGGTCCCTATAATAAGAATCCTACTATTTAGGGTACTATATTAAGGTTATAATAAGGATCCTACTATTTCGGGTACTATATTAAGGTCCCCTATTTTTGGGAAACCCCATTAGGCTTGGGGCATTTAGGGTTCGGGGTTTATGGCTCGGGGCTTGGAGGGCGCTTGAAGCTGCTTCGGGTTGTCACGATGTGTGACTGCGGACAGGGCGCAAGAGTCGCGGGCTTCGTAGTCGGAAAAGACGACATCCGGTCCAGCGGGGCGGGTTAAGGTTCAGTTGTTGAGTTCTTGCATAGTGTAGGGTCGAGACTCTGTGGTCTAAGGGCATTTAAACACCTAAGGGTTTGCGGTTTTTTGGAGTGCAAGGCTTCGGAACCTGATAAAGACGCGAGGCAGTAGGACCTTGAAACTACGGGCCCTCCAAAAATGAGGCACCCCCAGAATGTCTGAGACCCCAAATTCCTACATGGAGCACTATACAGCGTTATCAAGTCAGCGATAAACCACATATAGTTCTCTCTACCCTCGACGTCGTGAGGTCTGTGGTGCTTCGCGTGGTCTATCGAGAGTTGCTGCATAGCTTGTGGTGTTAGAGTTTATGTAGGTTTGCGTGGAGGACCATGGGACTTAGTAAGTAAGGTTATAAGTCCCTTAACTGGGGTTATAAGTATATATAAGTACAGTTACCTTAGTTATACCCCTACTTACTAAGTCCCATGATCCTTTACGTAATATGGACCCTTAGGCCTTTCTAGGGACCCTTAAGGGTACATATAGGGTGTATAGCAGGTGTATAAGGATCCCAGCCTTAAGGGCCCATACTAGCCCAAGGTAGGGTTTAGGAAGCCTCAACTCTGAACCCTAAACCCTAAACCCTAAACCCTAAACCCTAAACCCTAAACCCTAAACCCTAAACCCTAAACCGGTAGGGTTTAGGAAGCCTCAACTCTGAACCCTGGCACTTCAGCCCTCAGGGCCAAAACCCCAAAACTCGAACTGCCTGAACCCTCTAATGTAGGGGGCCTTAATCATCAGAATAGGGTTTTGGGCTCCTTTATAATACATTTCATAACAAGGAACCCTAGCCATAATATAGGTAAATTCTTGAGGCTTCTATGTTAAACCCAACCGAATGGGCTTCCTTAGAGCTTCTTCGAAGCTCCGTGGGCTTGGGTCTGAGCCCAAATTCTAAAACTTCGGACACCGGCTTCGCACGGCTTTTCCTATCTCTTCAAACAGGTTCAACCAGGCTTTCTATGAAGGAGGCGCTAGTGTGAAATCGTCGCTGGAGGCTGTCTTTGTTGGGCTCCGCAGGAAAGAAACAAGTTTTGGATTTACTGTTTTCTCCAGAGGGAGTCTTTATCAGCTAGGGGATTGGTGTAAAAAATCTTGCAAGTCTTTTGCAGCATAGGTGTAGCGCTTAGGGTTTGCGACAGCATTTTCCGTACTATGGGCTATGCGGAATCTTGTCTATCAGCAGCTCCACAGCGAACTGAAACCGACAACGATATCAAACACGCAAACTCTTATGACGAAAGCCCGTCAGAGGGCCCTAAAACTATCCCAAGAAACCAGCGGCACCCTAAATCCCCCCCGCAGGCCATGTCCAGCACAAGGATTCCTTTACCTCCTGTTCAGTTTCAAGGATTTCTGAATCTATGAAACCTCAAAACCCAATAAAGCTCATTAAACCCTAAACCCGAAGCCCTAAGCCCTAAGCCCTGAACCCCGTACACCCTAAACCTCGAACCCCCAAGCACCACCGGCAACAAAAGGCACTGCTTGACAGGATCGCAGTCGTTGCAACCTCTTAAAGGAACCCTTTGAAAGGAACCCTCAAAGGGAACCCTTAAACGAACCCTTTAAAAGAGCTCTTTAAGGAACCCTTGACAGGAACCCTTAAGGAACCCTTTAAAGGAACTCTTCAAGGAACCCTTTAAAGGAACCCTGTGAAAGGAACCCCCGAACCCTCCCTGGGTTCCTGTGAGATGTTGGGCTTACGGCTCTTGGGGCTTCGGGTTTAGGGGTTAGGGGTTTAGGGGTTTAAGGTCTGGGGCTTAGGGTCTTGAGCAGGAATGGAAAGAAACAGGATTCCCACGAAGAGCCCACTTTTCGCAGCAAGTAAGGGACCAAGCACACTAATTGATCTTAGTAGGGTCTTGACGAAAAGGCTGCACCCTAAACCTGAAACAA